TATTTTTATCCTTAATTAAATGGAATGTACCATTTACGATCAACAATCAATACCTAAGTCCATTTAAAAGACAAGCTATAGGGCTGGATAGAGTCGCAGCAGTAATGCCGTACTGTCAGGCAGACCCACCTGGGAATATTTCAGGTTCACATCTGGACCCCAAATATTCAAAGTGGGAACATGTCCAAGATCCAGGGCTTGTTGGGGCTGGGAGTGGATGACCACGTAAAGACCCTATTTGGAACGCCTGTCTTTCTCTCTTTATCACTTTCTTCTCTATTTTCGCCTGCTCAGGGAAGAAAGAGTAAAAGAAACTCTAAAAATATATATGTATGGGGCCAGCAGGTGGTATTTTGGGTTGGACTCCCACATGGCTGACTGCAGTTTCAATCCCAGTCTCAATGGCTTGAAACTCAAACTAGGCACATGAGTGTGCATGCCTGAAGTCCCAAGAGAACAGTGGAGGGGAAGTTATTGTGGCATTGCCATTCCTCCTTGGGGGATGGTTCCTCACTTTCCCTTTCTCTGGTGAGCACACGCTTCCTATGGCCAAAAAAAAAAAAAAAAAAAAAAGTATGTATACATTCAAACCAACTAATATGTTTTTTGATATGAAGTGGTGAAATATGAATCACCACATATATGTTGACAAGTTATAGGTATATATCCTTACTAAATAAATATTAGCTTTCAGGTACAATGAAAAAGTATATTATAGTACTTCCTTAAAGAGAATTCAAAACCTTATTTCATTAAAAACTTAGCAATGAAAGTTACAGAAAATGTGGAAGACGGATGGTGTCAAATGAAATGCCTATTGCTCTCAATTAAATCAAATAATGAATAGTGGGAATAATTTAATATTGGAAATGAGGAAATTAGATTCCCAACTGGCCCTTCTAACTAGCTGTGCAAACTTCGTCAAATCTACTTAATTTCTCAGGGTCTTAATTTTTTAATTTATAAAATGTAGCTTTTTATGTGAAACAAGTAGACTCTAAATTAATCTCTTGATCTATAATTTTAGTACCATCTGGAAAACAGAATCCCAATTGTGTATCTCAGTGGTCTGTGTCTTCTCTGCAGATATAGGGTCATATATTTCACCATACAGATACCTAAAGTCTATGAAATCTCATAATGTGTTAGAAGAACTAGGCCTGGGGCCAGCAGATGGTGCAGTAGTTATGTCGCTGGACTCTCACATGCTCAACCATGGTTCAAGTCCTGGACCTGGTGGCTTGAAACTCTTGCTGGTTGTGTGTGAAGGCATGCCCAAGACCCAGAGAGGAAAATGGAGGAGGTGGGATTACGATGTGGCCATGCCCCCCTGGTGTGTGTGTGGGGGCGGGTGATTTCTCACTTTCCTTCTTACTGTCTCTATCTCTGTCTCTGTCTCTTTCTGGTGAGCTCACGTGCCCTAAGGCAAAAACCTCTAAAAAAAAAAAGAACTTGGCCCTATAGAATTTATTTATGACTGACTGTTTTAGTACCACCTGGTCCTGTTAGAAAGGAGCCACAACCATGGTATCACTTTAAACCATAAAGATTATGCATTGTATAATAGCCTAGATAGATGGAAGGAAAATTCAAATATTGTATGAGAGATTAGGCATCCTGACTGTGGCTAGATTTCTCTTAAGTCATTTTATGAAGTAAAATATAAGTATGAGTATTTTACCCAGGGAGAGAGCTAATGAAGCCAAGGTTGCTGGTTCAATTCCCATGTGAGCTATTAGCTTCTTTTCAATCCACTGTCACAGACTTGCTACCCTCTTAACACTAACTCGCCATCCTTCATGTTTATACTAGTGGTCGCAAAGGAAGTTCAGACAGACCGTTTGGATGTCTAAGAAAAACACTATTCACTCTGCTAGAAAAATAAGTCGAAGGTCAAGCCCCAATGATATGACATCATCCAAGCATGGACCGGCTAGATGATTATTATGGTTGTTATTATTGCTGTTTTATTATCATCACAATTATGTCAATAGTATAGCATCATGGTTAAAATCACAGGCTCTCGAATCAGACTGTCTAGAGTTGAATTCCAACTCTCCTACTTACTAGTTCCATGATGTAGACTAATTATATAACTTTTTGAGTCTCATTCTCCTCATTTTCAAAACAGGTATTATTAAGAGCACCTTTTCGGGTTATCCTACAGAATGGATGGATTAAGGGGTCATTGGAAAAGTCATGATGCATTTTTGCTTAGAAAAATGGAAAAAAATACATCATGACTTTTCCAATGACCCAGTAACTGTAGAAAACACCCGAGACATACTAAGTAGTTGTTAATTTTTTTTTAGAGTATTTTTTTTTTTTTGCTATAGGGTACGTGCGCTCGCCAGACAGAGAGAGACAGAGAGATAGAAAGCGAGAAATCACCCCCCCCGGGGGGGGATGGCCATGCCACAATCCCTTCTCCTCCATTCTCCTTTCGGGATCTTGGATATTGCGCACGCATGCACACGCGCCCGGCGTGAGTTTTGAGCCACTGGGTCCGGGACGCGAACCGCGGTCGACTACATGGGAGTCCAGTGACATAGCCATTACGCTAACTGCTGGTCCCAGTAGTTGTTATTATTTTTAAGAGAGATTTTTGCCATGGGACATGTGTACTCGCTGGAGAGACAGACAGAAAGTGAGGAGTCAAAGCCCAGGGGGATGGCCATGCAGTAATCTTTTCTCCTCCGTTTTCCTCTCGAGATTTTGGGCACATATGCACAGATGCCTGGTGTGAGTTCTAAGCCATCGGGTCTGGTACTCAAACCATGGTCGACCATGTGGGAGTCCAGCTACATACCATTAAACCAACTACTGGTCCTAAGTAATTGTTAGTTTTATTTAATTGTCTTGGTCATGTGAACTAGTTAGTACTTGTTAAAACCATATGTATTAACTTCCTAGGGCCACTGTAACAAATTAACACCAACTAGGTGACTTACAGTAACAGACATTTCTTCTTTCACAAGTCAAAGGCTTGGTGTCCCAAATCAAATTGTCATCAGTGCCTGACTCTTTCAAGGCTCGAAGTTCCTTCCTCACCTCTCCTAACTTCCGGGGGGGCTCAGACATTCTTTGGTTGGTGGAAGGATAACTCCAATATCTGCCTCTGTCTTTATGGGGCACTGTCTCCCCATGTGTGTCTGTGTCTCTGTCAACGCTTCCCTCCATTTTCTCTTATAAAGACATCATTCGCTGGATTTCAAGCTCTCCCTAATCCAATATAAACTCATTTTAACTGGATTACACCTGCAAAGACCTTATTTCTAAATAAGGTCACATTCACAGGTACCACCAGTTAGAATCTGGAAATATCTTTTTGGGAGGAACACAGTAAAGCCACTACAGGGAACCAGCAGTTAGCGTAATGGCTGTGTCGCTGGACTCCCACGTAGTCGACCGTGGTTCGTGTCCCGGACCCGGTGGCTTAAAACTCACGCCGGGCGCGTGTGCGTGCGTGCCCAGGATCCCGAGAGGAGAATGGAGGAGAAGGGATTGCGGCGTGACCATCCCCCCTGGGGGATGATTTCTCGCTTTCTGTCTCTATGTCTCTCTCTGTCTGTCTGGCGAGCGCACGCGCCCTACAGTGAAAATCTCTCAAAAAAAAAAAAAACCCACTACAATATACAATATACAAAGCAAGAAAAAAAAAAGACAATAAACACTTGAGAAGAGATGCTATAGCAGAAATATGCAGAAGGTATGATAATAGCACTTCTTTAGAGGAAATAGCTAAATAGCCTCATGAAGTCATTAGTCCTTACCTATGTTAACAATAACAAAGTACACTTTCAAATGTGGGTGAGACAGGACTTTGGAAAAATCCCTTTGGGCTTAGAGAAATAGGCAAGGCAAGCTGCCCTACTCCCCTGGATAGTAGTAAAATGCTCTGAAAATTCTGACATAATGTGGGTCTCAGAGCACAGTCCTGGAAACACCTTCCTCCTGTTTGCACCGTGGCCAGCAGAGCTAGTGATATATTGAAACAAATACTGTGGGACCTGCAAGGAGGCATTGAGTATGAGGTATCCTTGGTAATCTAATAAACCCAAATTTGGTGATAATAATCTGAGATAGCTATTTGCCTCGAGTCCTGGCCCTCTGATGGTCATGTGTCACACAGAATATTTAAGCAAATGTCTTAGTGTAAGTTCTTATCCAGTCATGGCTGGACTGGGTCTCTAAATAGCATTTCCTACCCAGGCAGTTTAGAACCAAACAAAGAAAGCTTGATTGCCTTCCGTCTGAAAGAGTCCAAAAGGTGAAGAATTGGTGGCTTTACTCTATCATCGACTTAATATGTGACTTGGAAACACCCCTCATATCGTATCACTACGTCCAGTTTTCCCCTTCTGCAAATATTCAGTTTGCACAGTATTGACTCAGGTAAATATGTCGAGTCTATGGCAGAATACAGCTCACTGTAGCAAAACTCTCAGCGGGAGGATGTTGTACACTTTGGTCACAGTTACAATTTAATTTGGGGGTTTATCTGTCTGCCAATGAGATTATAGGAAGGGAGCATAGGTATAGGAAGAAAATAGTGATGAGGGATTCTGATATTTGAAAATGGATGAGTTTCCCAAAAGAAGAGCATAAAACTCTCTGGATCAAATTCAGATAGAAAGCTGGCAGCTTGCCAGATGTGTAATTGCATCTTGAATTGAGCTGTAATCCTCACCATTTCTGAAAACAAGAATAAGAAAACGATAAGCCACATTTGTTTTCAACAATGATATTTGCTTAGCATTCCTAATAAAATGGTTTTCCTGGCACTTCGGTTAAGGCTGGAGAGTTACAAAAATGATATGTTTTGTATAAGGGGGAAAAAGAAAATAATGTATTTTCTAGGAGGATGTGGGAAACAGTATTTTGGGGGTGGGATGGGGAGAGTGAGGAATCCTGTATTTTGTGAGAAACACAAAAACTAGATATTTAGTTTACTGTAAAATAGAAATGTATATGCTTTTTTTGACATAATGACCTTTCAGGTTTACAACCTATGAGTATAAGCTCTTCGTACACAATAGTGTGGGCTTTACACCAAGTCAAGAAACAACCGTGACGACACTGGCCGGCCTTCCAGAAAGAGGAGCCAACCTCACTACGAGTGTTCTGAACCACACAGCCATCGACGTAAGGTGGACTAAACCAAGTAAGTGAGCTTCTCATATCTTTATTTCCCCTTCATGCATTACTACCCAAATAAATTCAAAAAATGGTCACATAAAAACTAAAAATAAACAAACAACAACAACAAAAACTTAAGGTTCCCATGCCATTTTTCTCCTTATTCTTTTTTTTTTAAAGAGGATTTTGCCTTAGGGCACAGGCACTCACTGAAGAGAGAGAAAGAGAGACAGAGACAATGAGAAGGAAAGTGAGAAATCACCTCCTGGGGAGATAACCACACCACAATCCCTTCTCCTCCATTCTCTTCCTGGGATTTGGGGCATGCACACACATGCATCTGGTATGTTTTTCAAGCCACCAGATTGAGGACTTGAACAGCAGTTGGCTGTGTAGGAGTCTAGCAACATAATTGCCTCTCCACCCCATGCTATTTTTTTTGTAAGAGGCATATTCTCTTCTACTTACATCCTTCTTGGGTCTCTTCTTCCTTTTTTAAATTTTATTTTGCAAGAGAGTGCATATATTCAGTGGGGTTGAGAAAGACAGAGAGAAGGGGAGAGAGAGGATGAGAAAATAACCTCCCGTGGAGAGTGGTCACACTGCAGTCCTTTCTCCTCAACTTCTTCTTCCTTTCAAGATTTTGGGTGTACACACACACACACACACAGTGTGTTTCTCAAGCCACCAGGTCCAGGACTCAAACCCAGCAATTGGCCATGTAGGATCCAACCACCATAACTACCACACTGTGGGCTGATCCTCCTTTTCTTTCATTCATTCTTTTTAGATGATAAATGTAGTTTCTGTCACATCAACTAGTTGTGATGAAATTGTCCATATATTGATTTGATACAACATAATGTGTACCTTCCTACAAAGAACTCATCTTCATACCTCATGACTCATCACTCATTAGCAAGATCCATTTAACAGGATTGCAATAACGTGTTAAGTTTTTTCCTGTGAATCATCTTGGGTTGATTGTGAGCAGAATTCCAGTTTGGTTCAGTGAAGCAAGGCCTAAGCATCACCACTAGATTTGCATCAATGGCACAGAGTGTGTCCCTGCCCTCTTCAGAACACCTCTTTACTGGCTTTAGAACAACTCAGGATGGTTCTCTGTTCCTGTAACTTTAGGAACTGCCATATCTGAGATTCCAAAACTGTTTGGTCAGTAGGATAGCATTTAATATCGCTTCTGTTAACTTGTCATGATCTGTTATGACAACCAGGTAAAAAAGAACCCTAAATCTCCATGGAAATATGTATTGTAATCATCCCTACAAGCTGTAGGGACAATAAATTTATTTGTAATAATTGTAAATTTATGTGTTGTAATAAATTGCGCCTTGGCAAATAGTTCATTGAATCAAAGCTTCTTAGACTATGACCAAATATTAAGAAATAGCTGCTTTGAAATAGCCCAATTAGGCTAGTAAGTGGCCTGGTGATTAAGTCTGGATCTTACATGGTCAACTCCATGGTTTGAGTCCCAGTCATGGCAGTTTGAAAAATACCTCAAGCTCATGGCTGTGCATGCTCAGAATCCTGAGAGGAAAATGGGAGAGAAGAAATTGTGGCCTGGCCATCTATCCTGTGGGTAAATTTCTCACTTTCCTTTTGTCTGTATCTCAGTCTCTCTCTCTCTCCAGTAAGCATGTCTTATAACTAGAATCTCAGTAAATAAAAGAAGAAAGTAAAGAAGGAAAGGAGGGAGGGAGGGAGGGAAGAAGGAAATGGCCAAATTAAAATAGTTTGTCTTATGAAAGAAAACCACCAACTACGGTGATTATCTATTGTTAAATAAAAAGATACAAATTTACTGTTGGACAGTAGCAACCGGGTGATTTTGATGCAGCTTTGAGTCTTATTACAGCTTGAGACAAGAAATACTTTGTTAAAGATACCTGAGTGAATTTGCTCCATTGTTATATGAGAGTGGATGTACATTAAAACCAGCCTTAGGTGACATTCATTGTAATCTAAAATCACCACTGGTTTTGTTGATCTACGCTACCACTGAACAACTCATTTTCACAAAAAACTATCATTATGGTTTTCATAAGGTTGCAGGTTTTTAATGATCTGTGCCATGTGGATGGGAGTCTCTTAAAGCATTTTAATGAAAGAATGTAAGTTAATTGATGCTTCAAGTTACTCCCCTATCCAACACCTCTGAGAAGAATATAAAGCTTTTATCTAGAGATGTATTTTGATACATATTTCCACTTATCTCCCTGTTCCTCTCCGCCTCACCAACTGATTTTTCCTCGAAGCCTGTTCATAAAGGTAGGCTCTCTCTCTGCACCTGATGTTTGAATGCTTCTGTTAAGATCCGGCTGCTGAATTTTCACCAATATAGGTCCTTTATGTTATAATTGCATGCCCGAAGAAAGCGTGCTTATAAAAACTGACAACCCTAATAGATCTGAAGCAGCTCACTGAAGTTTCATTACCTTGGTAATCTGAACCTCTGACCTTCGGGATGTAGGTAATGTAATCTGCTGTTATTTCCATTCATACTTTAGAAATTTTTCAGATAACTATTTGTGAGCACAAAGGTTAACTCTCAGAAGAGGGTCAGCTCTGAGACAGCTTGTTGCATTATCATTTTCTTCTTTTGTGCAGCCTGCTACCGTAAGTAAATTATATAGTCATTCCTCTGTGAAAGGGCCACCTATTTTTGATGATTTTAATTTTAAATTGTTTTCTTGATTGGTAGGAAGAAATGGTACATAGTATAATATATACTAAAAGGCACAAACCTAGAGATTAAAAGTTCCTTGTAGTTGAAAATGATATGGATACATCTATAAATATTTACATATTCAAAGTTGCCTATTGCAAACCACAAAATGTATTTTAGAAAACATATTATTTCTTTACTATGACCTTAAAAATGTATATCTTATTTTGGTAGCAAAATGTTTCCAGTGATTTAAAAACTTTATTTATTTATTTATTTTTAGTTTTGCTACAGTGCATATGCTCTTGTCAGGGAAAGACAGAAAGAGAAATAAGTGACATATTACCCTCTGGGGGGATGGCCATGCTGCAATCCCTTATTCTCCATTTTTCTCTTGGCATTTTGAGCACACACCCACATTCACCCAGTGTGTTTTTCAAGCTACTGTGACCAGAACTTGAACCACAGAGTCAGCCATGTGAGAGCCAGTGCCTTAACTTCCATGCCACCTGCTGGCCCCTGGTAAATTTTCACCAATCACAGATTGACAGAGATAAGTTATTGAAATTTTAAAGCCTAGTTTTAAACATTAGCATCATGTATATAATGTAATGTGAGACATAGCTTCCCATCATTTCTTCATTTTTTAAAATTTGGTTGGACATTGCAAACTGGCAACACATAGGCCATATGTTCTTCCTCCATTCTTCATGTATTGTTTTGCCTACAGTATTTGAAAAATTAATATTTTGCCAACATTTAACTATCAGAAATGTTCATATAAAGATGTTGACTGGGGATTCAATTGAAAAGTCAAATGATTTAATAAAACTCTTCCTACATTTCTGGAAGGAAAATGTTAGCCCATACTGATTAGTGGCTGCCATTTTAGACATATCACACTTTCACTATCCGATCTTGCCCACATCTTCCTGGTCCTGATAGAGAAATTTATTGTATTTTACATAATAAATCAAAATACTGGTCTAAATGAAGTCCAATGAAGACAAATTATATTGGTGATTTTAAAAAGTGTCACATTTTTAGGAGCCAGTGGTGACATGGTGGTTAAGGTGGCTGTGGCCAATGGTGCAGTTTGAGTCCCAGACTCTGCAGCTTGAAAAACATGCCAGGCACATGTGCATGTGTGCCCAAAATTCTGAGAGGAGACTGAAAGAAAAGAGATTATGATGTGACCTTCCCCCCCCCGCCCCCAGAGGCTGATTTTTCACTTTCTTTCTCAATCTCTCTCTCTTTCTCTCTGGTGAGTGCATGCACCCTGTAGCAAAAAATAAATTAATTAATTAAAAATGACATTTTTATAAGAAGAGATAAAATTACTCATACTGTTTTAAGAAAACTCCAATGAGGTAGAAACTGGCACTTTAGTAACTTGTCTAAAACTACAGTTCAAGTAGCAGTTCCTAAACGCAAAGTCAGGGCTCAGGCATCGAATTTCCTGTTATTTCTCATACATTTCACCTTAATAGTTGTTAGCACTTTATCAGTAATGGTTTAATAAGATCCTTCTCACTTTGGCCACTCACTCTAGAATAAAAGGCAACATAAGGAAATGCCCACAGGAGGAGTGTAGTGGACAGGCCACACCCTTCTCTGAGGCCAGCTCAGAAATAAGGTCAGTGATGACCAGGAAAAGGCAAGAAAACACTGATGGCAGTGAGAGGAAAGTACTGAGAAAAAGGAAATGACAAATCCCAATGCTGTCCACTTCACAGTCTGTCAAGAGTTTACCTCAACCTTCTGATGTTCCTATTTTACATCATTCTTGTCTTACTCTATTCCTTTCTCTTCCATCTTTTCTTTTCTCCCTTCTTCCCTTCCTTCCACAAAACTTGACTTACCACTTTCTTGACCTTGTATCACTAGGAATACAAAAACTAATGACTGAGGAGTCCAGCATTATAATATCTCAGTGAACTTTCTAGAAAATTCATAAAGCATGACAGTCTCACCCTTAGGAGAATTTGTTTGAAACAAAAGAAAAAGCATCTTCCTCATCCATATCTTGTAATCAGAAAAAAACAGACTTTTTAACTAGAGGAATTTCTGACTTTGAAATTATTTAAGTGTCGGTTCACATAAATCTTTCTGAGTTGTAACTCTTCTCAAGGGCACCCACCATTGGCTTACCTTGTTCCCCTGCACTGTTTCAAAGCCAGTGGACTGCCGCTGCATTTTCCTCTGCCATCCCTCGCATTCACTTGTGCACCTCTTGTACTCTGGCTTTCTCTTCTTTCCTTGTGCTCTATCAATATGGTTATCCTGAAATCACAAATGATCGTCTAATGCCCAATCCAGTGCCCTGTTCTCGGTGC